AAGGATAGTTTGGAGGGAGAGGGATCCTAGGGCTCTCTACTGACTGACTATATAGCAGTTTAATTTATAGTGAGAAACATACAGTGAGTTGGTTCAGAATATTTTCACATCCTAGCTAAGGATGTTTCACATCCTTCGTGCTAGCGAAGTGTCTTACTCTGAAAGAATGCTGGATCCATTCCAAGGAACGCTAATACAAAGAATCATTACAGATGTATCTAGTTCTTCCATCTTTTTTTTTTAAATTTGTTTTGTATTAATGAAACCTAGTAGCTGATGACTAGCTTTGGTCTCCTAGACAACAGAGATCTTTCCTATGTTTTTTTTTTTAAGGAACTGTAAAAGCTTGACTAGAGTGGGCAATTCTGCTCCATTTCAGTTGCATGCTCCTTGATATTTTGGGGTATTGGGAGAGAGCTGTGTTCCTCTTTAAATTTGATGCAAGTGTGACTGCATTTTCTATTGGGTAAAGCCTGGAGTAGGGCTTGTACCGAACTCTTAAAAGAATGAGATTCTAGTCTTTTGAGGCAAGTATCAAGGGAGGGATAGTACATGGTGCAGAAAAGAGGAACTGTTTGATGGAAACAGGTTGTGCTGATTTGTTGATAATCTTGTCTTTCAAAATAATTCAAATCTTGTCTTTCAAAATAATTCAAATCTTGTCTTTCAAAATAATTCAAATCTTGTCTTTCAAAATAATTCNTTGTCTTTCAAAATAATTCAAATCTTGTCTTTCAAAATAATTCAAATCTTGTCTTTCAAAATAATTCAAATCTTGTCTTTCAAAATAATTCAAATGTGATTTGAAATGATCACTTAACTGCACTTATGACTTCCTTGAACTGCTAAGTACAATATCAGGGTGTGAATGATAATCTGCTCTTAAACTCAGCTCAGTGGTTAAAGAGACTGATAATTCATAAATTCAGAGACCAATAACTTGGGAGACTAAATTGTCAGGAACTTGGATGAGGTGAGCCTGCAGAGAGAAATACCAATTGGAAAGAAGGAAGGGGGAGTTTGGGAATTAATGGGACTGGAAATCTGAGATTGGCAGAGTGGTGAGGAAAAAAAGACTGTGGCAAGGTGCTAGTGCTAGGGCAGGTCGATTTTTGAGGAGTACCGATCTTCCAAAGCACAGCCTTTTCTACCACAGATCGAATAGGGCATCCTGCAGTTACCCCATTCTGTAGCAGATATCAGATACTTGAAGTCTGCAGAAAGTAACAACTTTATTTTTGTAATATGTCTCAAATGGTTGAAGTCTTTGCATGTTTGGTGCCTCCAAAAGCATTCTTGTTTTGTTCTGGTGTATGGGCTATCGCGTATAGAAACTCCTTACTGGCTTTTTCTTTTTCTTCAGTTATTCTGAAGAAAATTTTCTTCAGGTATTAATAAACAAAAGGAACTAGAAAATAAGGCATTTAACTGCCTTTATTATATAGGTGGAAGATCAAACATGGAAGAAAAAGCTGTGCCCAACTAGATATATTTATTCCTATAGAACAGAATAGTTTTCACTCTCTGCCTTGAGATGCATGTCTTGCGCAGTGTGCCAACTTGATAGCATCCATTCAAGGACATCTGTTAGTGTCTAAGTGTCTTTTTTATCCTTTCTTTGAGTGTATGGTACAATGTAGTTCATTATTCAATTCCTGATTAACTTCAAAATTAAATGTTTTATTATTCTGCAGCATTAAGTACGAGAGGGTTTTTTTTTTTTTTTTTTCCCCTGCTATAGTTAAATGAGTTGGCATGCGTTCTTTTTTTAATAAGATGCCAAGAGTGTTAGGTAAAAGATGCATAGTCATTTCTGATATTCTTTAGGACGTCAGGTCCAATTTTTAAGTGTTCCAAAGACTGTCAAAAATATGAAGTGCAGCTCCCCTGGCTCCAGCTATTCACTGCGCTGTAGATAATCAAAACAGTTCAAAGCCCAAGAGCCTCCAAGTGGACATCCAGACCATGTAGCTCTTGTTTCTTTTTGTTTTGAGACTGAGAGTTTGGAATCTTTGTATTGCAGAAGATCTCAGTGAATGAATACAAGAGATACAAATTCCAGGCTTGATCTTGTCTCCTCTAGCTGTTTTTTCCCTTATGATCTTGATTGCTCCGTAGGTCTTCTGGTTTTTGGAAGTAATCAGGCCATGGGCTTATGTAGAAGCTCAGGCTCTATAATTTAGGTTTTCTGAGAGCAGAATTCAAATGCTGCTTGGCACCATGGGGCCCAATTTGGGTATTTTAATACAACTGTAGTAGTTTTTGTAATCTTCCTAGCAGAAAATAAAACTTTTCTTATGCAGAGATATAAATGTCCCTGGAAAAAAAAACTTCAGTGCCTCGGAGTTCGTGGTATGCTAGGAAACAACAACTAACAAGTTGGTAAGAAATAGTTTGGCAGAACTATAGTGATAACTATTGCTAATTAGAAAGGAGCCTGGGGTTGTGACTGGAGAACTTCTTGCTGTAATCACCGTATATATTTAAACATATGATCTTAAACCCTCGGTGAAATAAGCTTGCTTAGCTGAATCAAGAGAAACATTATTTCTGCCATTCTTACAGGTTAGTGATAAAATGTTGCAATAGCTTTGTGGAAAGATGCAAGAAACTTTCTCCCTTCCTTAAAACACTTCACAAAGCAAGTTTTTCTTTGATTGAATATCTGTTATTGTATAGTTGTCTGTAGACTGAGTTCCTGAATTGACTTGACCATTTGTCCCTGCATTTTGGAAACCTACTGCTGCTCAGTGACTGTATCATTAGTCTATACTGTTCCAGTTATTTAAACAACAGCACCTTTTTTTTTGTCCCTCATGGGCAGTATTGGATTATCAGTTATTGAACAGGCACGGAAATCTAAGCAATCAAGTCAACTTGAAGTACCAATGCTGTTTGAGTTGTTTTGTAGACTTTTTTGTCATGTGGTTGATGAGTAGTGAGTTTCATATGTGTCTGCACTTTACCTTTATTGTGTGTAAGTATGTAGTTGTTTTTTTAAGCTAGACTACGTTCTAGGTAAGTCAAGTGCTTTGCTTCTGTCTTCTGTGCCATTATAAATATATGGTAGCTCTCAGAAATGGTTATGTAGATGCAGATATTTCTCAGACAGCGGACTGAAGAGTCCACTGAAGATTGAAGAGTCTTCCAGAACTGGAAGACTGAGAAACAAATAATGTACTTTAGATTCATCCACTTGGAAGTGGTTTATGTATTGAGGCTGCAGCTAGCTTATGCGAGTCGGTGTAAAGTTTGCTTTCATGTTCTGGATGGAGTTTTCTGATTTTCAGATAGGGTGCTGCCCAATCTCTGACTTCATGGTTGAGCAAGAAAGCTTGGCTTGCAGTTTCATTTTTTTGCAATGGTTTTTGCTCTCACTTTTGTTTCTTCAGGACCCTGTATGAAAAATTAACAGAGAAGCAGATAAGAAAACATGCTGTCAGCATTCTTTTGGCATATTTTTTCTCCAGTTCCTTCTTTTTTTCTCCTCCCCTTCCTGTTTATATTCAAATGCAGAGTACTTGGTTTTATTGCAAAGAGTAACTAGCTGGCAACTCTTTTTTTTTTCTCTAATTTTGATTTAGTTGCATGTTCATGAGTGTTTTAAGGAGTAGGAGAAAATATAGTATTTGAAGGACTAAATTCAACAGTTTACTAATCTTCTGATCTAGTACCAAATTGCAGTCCATAAAATGGCTCTTATTTGATGTTATTCTGATAGATTGTTAATATCGAAACGCTGTTACTTGTTGATTAAAAAAAAAGTGGCACATTCAGTGACAGGAGGCATTATGACGTTTAAGCACTTTCTGATTAAATACTGTCTTAACAGATTGTGACTCATGAAGGATATTTTCTCTTTCAAAATCACTGGCTTGAGAGAATAACCTGGGAGCTTCTGGCTGATAATCCTGTAGAAGCAGCCATGATTTGAGGGTGTTTTTGGATAGAGTGCTATACCAAGTGGCTGAAGCCAATGCTATCGTGTTTTCTGCTCTGCTAGTTTACACTGCCCTTAAAAGGCTAGAATAAATTCACATATAGGTCAGTCACCTAGCTTTGTACAATCATGTATTGAGTTACAAAGCATCTTACCTGTGTTAAATATTTAAAAATTTTTTTGACCTATGCTATTTCTGTTTCTACGTAGTAGGTCACTGCTTTCAAGATTAAATTAATACTGTAATAGATGCTGATTCTCAGAAAATAGATTATTTCTGAGCACCTTAGTAGTATTATTTAATTCAGACAGTATTAAATAGACATTTACAATAACTACTTTATAGTATTAAGATTAATGTTTCTTTCTGAGGTCTTAACTTTTTCTGTCCTTCTAAAAAATATATATATATATATATATATGTAAATACTGGTCTTTTTTCCAGCCTTTATTAATTGCAATTTGTTTACTAACCTTGAGCTGATTATTAAAATTAAGCTGTAACTGTTTGGCAGAGATGCAGATCTACTATTTATTTATATCATTTAAATCTGTTTAGAATATTTACTTTTTGTATATTTGTTTAAATGTAATTATTGAATAATTGAAAAATATCTTAATTTAAAAATTCTTACGTTCTAAAGATGTGAAAACCATTTATTGAAGGTTTGCTTTTATTGAAGGTTTGGGAAGTGGTTTTCAGTACAGAAAATAGAGTTACAGCTTTTTCTGTCACACTGTTTGGTGTAGAGCTGTGGTGTCCAGCAGCCTAAACAGCAGGACAGGGTTTTTTTTTCCGTTTTCTACAGAGAGCTTTTGTAAATCGGCTGTATGACAGATGGAGTTCTCTTTAGACTGTGTTAATCTAGGTCTGTAAGAAGCTCAGAGTGGAATGATGTCATGTAGGGGACAGAGAAGGAAAAACACACATTTACTGGCTTTTGAAAGTGCAACCCCCCTTTTTCTACATTGAAATAATTGAGTTTTATGTGATATAATGATGCAAGTGAGACTTTATGCTGTGTATGTATATTTACAGAACTGTTTTTTTTCTCCCTAGGATCCTTCAGTAACACAAGTGACAAGAAATGTTCCTCCAGGATTAGATGAGTACAATCCTTTCTCTGATTCAAGAACAGTAAGCATATTTTTGTCTTAAGCATGCTCTTCACCTTTCTGGAGAAGGTTTATGGAGGCTGTTTACAGAACTTTAAAAACTGCAAAAAAATAGCTAGAGGTGGGTAGAAGTTCTTTAAGGATAGTCCCACAAAGTATGTGGAGAATTTTCTGGGTAGGTCTGACTTAAGTGAGCTTTGAACCCTCAAGGAAGAGTGGCTTCCTGAAAGGGAGCGAAGTAGAATTTCATTTTAGCCCTGTTTAAGATTTCTGCCCTTTACACTTTCTTAAACTTTGTCCCTACTTTACAACAGGTGTGAATGGGCACATCTTCCTCTCTGTCTTGCTTTTGGTGCCCATTTCACTTAGAAAAAAGCTACTCAGAGTAGGCATTTTACCGCACTTCACAGTCCATGGACAACTAGTAGCTGTGCTGTTCTAAAAGTTATAACTTAAGGTTGAGAAATGCAATTTTTGCTTCTTATATGGCTATGGCTTAACTCTTAATGACTTTCACTGTAAAAACAGGATAGTTAGTTAATACCATTTTTGATCACAAATCCTTTTTTTGTTTATGTTGAGTGATAAGTTGGAAATGTGACTGATGATCTGTAGTATTCATCTTGTTCTGCCTTTCTCCTCTTCCTTGTCCCACAAATTCAAGTTGATAAGACATGCTGGGCTGCACAAATATTTTCTTATTGCAAATCCAGGCAGAATTGTTTCCTCTGTGAGAAGCCGATTTAACTCTGAATGCTAGTACTGGCTTTCATAGCTTGTTAAGGAAGATGACACCTATCCTAATAAGCAAAGAAGAAATGATAGGACAGAAAAATAATTGTTTTCTTCAGCTTTTCTCTATTAATATGTAACTTTCATCCTTCACATCTGTAGTAGGTATTTCAGTAGAAAAACAATCAATGCATAAGACGTGATGAAGAAAGCATGGGCATAACAGCTTCTAAGTCTTAAGTGTCTATATTTTGATACCTAACATGTGAAATCAGGAATCTTCGTTTACTGGCTTTTTATCAAACTTAAAATCTTCTATTGTTTTTGATTATAAAACCAAACATAGTTTTCAATGAATGGTATAAATGTCAGATTAAATGTCTTTGCCTGCATCTTTAGTGGTTTTCTCTCCAGTGCTAACAGTCACCATGGAGAGGACTCTGCTTTTTTTGTCATGTTTCTGAAATCAACAAGGGCCAGATGAGATCAGAGGACTAGTGTTGCTGCTTAATCATTCGATTGTACTGCTTTACTTACAGAATTACTGCTAAAGAGGGCTTGCAATGTCTTCTTGCTTCTAGAGCTTCTGCTAGTCCATGTTGAACTTCTGCTCTGAGACCTCAGTGTGTGCGTCCATATCCATATGGATGCAATAATACAGATAGTATAAGCTTTGAATCTGGATGTACTATAGATTTTTAAAAAATGCATACATAGTGTGTTGTTGTGGATCTTTTAGAAGCATGCCCCTTAACTTTTTTAGTAAATTCTTGGACTCTTCCTCTTTTATCTTGCATCTGAACACAATGAAGATTTAACAGAAAAGTTTATCAGCTATACCTGTCTTCTCAGTCTTTTTTATTGCTACTTCTGATACCAACATACTTTTCAAAGTAAATAAAATACTTCAGCTTCGTGGGGGAAATTATTCATAAGTACTTATTTTGACAATCGATTTCCAGCCAACACAGTAGTATTGATGTTAATTTGCATCTTTGCCCAGTGTAGCTGTGACAATAAGATGTGAAATAAAGAGAATTTCTCCCAACCTCAACATGCAATTAGAATTAGCTGTGTGTGTTGTGATTCCAAGGTAATCCTGTATAATAAAAGCAGTGGTATCTTCCTTTTCCTGACAGCTTATATTTTAGCTGTTATCACATATTACAGAACTGGTCTGCATTTGTCTGCTACTTGGATAGGTCAGACAGCTTCTGTAAGTATGAATTAAGAAATAAAAAATATTTTTACAGGGTTTCTGACTACTTCTTTTCTGAGATAAGTACTGTTCAAGCCTTGTTTTCAAATCCTTACTACTTTTAATGGGAGACCAAATTTTTCCATAAGTGTAAATGGACTGCAGAGTTTAAGGGGAGAAGGAAGAGGTTTGACTTCAGCTGTCCTGAAGCTGCCTGAGATGACTGTCTTCCTATCTGTTTCTGAGAAGGCAAAAGGCCATGTGGTAGTTGGAATGCTCTGATATGAGTTCTTAAAAGAGGCAAGTTTCAGGGCAAGGAATTTTCATCTCTGCTTTCTGAGCCTAAGCTCAGCAGGAGAGACTTAAAGAGAATTCCATCACTCTAGACCCTGACGCTCAGCTAGAGTTTTTTCTTCCTTGCTTTATATGGCTGGTTTTGGCTGTTAGGTGGCTTACAGCTTTTCAAAATTTCAACAGCAACAATAAAAAATCAAGTGTGAGGCAAATCCACATTACTTGATTGACTTTTCCTATGTTTACCTTCTAAGAAAACTTTGAGAATGGGATATATTTTGCTTGCAAGTAAATTAAGATTTGCTATAGCCACTCTTTCAGTAAATAAGGAACACGTGGCTCACTTTCCATGAGCTCTTAACTTTACTGTTGGCACTGAAGTAAAATGGGCAGATTCAGCCTTCCTGTTTTGATTTGCACACAGAGTCAACATTTAGGCCTTGGCATTCTTTAAACACCAAATGTAAAATAGCTGATTTCTATGCCTAAAAAGGCCTTTTGACTAAATTCAGTTCTTTTTTTGCCTCTATCATAAGGTATTAGTCAAGTTTAAAGAAGTTAACAGGCAAATTCACTCATTTTTCAAAGCTGCTTGTTTTTTTTATTCCTAGGAATTACTGACAAAAGTCAAAATAACATGAAATGTTCTGATTATTTATGAACACTAGTGGCCTTGATGCTTGTTATTTCTCAAAATTATTATTTTTCTGTTTATCTGGTTTGTCACGTTTAGGGTTTTCAGCTGTTTTCAAGATCCTTTGTGTGTCTTCCATTACCACCTCTTGTGCAGACAATATTTGAGATGATTGCATAAACTTAAGTGTTTGCTTTTGATTCAAAATAGCAAATCAGCCACTTCTGTGACGGTAGATCTAGCTGATTGCTTGGTAATGGTGTTTCTTCAATGAAGCTTATACACACAGTCTGTACATAATAAGTATAAAATGCATTTCCTCTGCCAACCTTTTTAAAAAACGTCTTTAAGAAAGACTTAAGAAGGCCTCCCATCTCAGACCTCTTGTATCTTGAGCAACACAATTTAAGCCATTTTGGGGGACTCTTGATTCAATAGTTTGCAAGTATTTCACCATTTCAGACCATAAAGAAGCTACTGTATGCTGATGCCAGTAGGGATTTTAATTGGAATTGCTTCAGACTTTTTTTTTCTTTAAGGCCTTAAAGGTTTTAAAGACGTTTAAAAAAAAAAAAAAAAAAAAAAAAAAACACTTTTTTTATAAGGCTGACTTCAGTGATGTCAATAAGATCAAATCTCTGCTTATTGTGTATTTGGAAATTCATATGGGATAATTGAGCATATTAACACATGAGATTTTGTACTGTACTGGCTCTTTAATAAAAGTATGAATGTCTGCCTGCCATACTGGCTTGTCTGCTAGCTAATAAATGATTTTTTTTTGAGGGTGTTTTTTGTGTGATACTTGTAAATGCCTTTTTAATTTTTTTTTAAGGTTTGAGGTGCACAGCTTCCATTCTCTCTAGCTCTTATTCTCATTCTTTTCTATTTCTTATTTTTCTCTTCTAGTTTTCTCTGCAGAAACTTCTGCAGAGTTACTAAATATAACTAAATGTTGATGAATATTTATAGGTCAAAATAAATGTTTTGCAATTTTATAAAAGAAGCAACTGGTTTCTAACAAAATTTCACAGATAATCTGCTATTTGTTGTTTTTCTCCCCCCTTTCCTTACTATTTATGTAAAGATAGAGACGAACAATCTTGTCAGCTGCTTAATTTCTACAATTAGAGCTACATTTTTATACTGCACACAAAGCTGGAATTGGTAACTGAAAATATAGTGTACAAAGACATGCATGGCTCTTACTGTAGTTGCTGTAGTATAGAAGCATTTCTTCATTAGTAAACTGTAGGCTATAGAGACAGTGGCTGGAATACACCTTCTTTTGGGATTTTACTCTTAGCTTCTGCTGCCCTAGCAAAGATTCTAACACAGTAACCAGTGACATAGCAGATGTTGGAGCAGGGGCATATTCTTTCCTGCAGCTTTCCTTAGACACTGTCTTCCTTACAAGCGCTTGTGGCAAATGATTTTTGAGCGAGCAACAACACATTCATGCATGGTCTAGGCATATCTACTGTAGCACAAAAGTAAATGCTTAGTGAATTTTGTATCCGTTTAAATGCCTCAGTAGAGTCTCAGTCAATGTGTGCCCCTGAAGCAGGGACTAAGCATCCTGTCCTTCTGTTGCCATAAAAATGCTAGGGTTGTGTATGTTACTGGAGTAAGATAACCTTTAGAAAACTGGAAGCTATTCCCAAAGAAAATGGAAGAGCTTGAGCTTTGGGAAGTTAAACCTTTGAGAAGCAACTTATTTTGTAAGTTGGAAAAGTTTATGTTCTGGAGATAGGAAGCTTCTGCCAGCTTTAGGGTTGATAGGTGAGCCTCTTCTAAGAGTCCTAAGAGAAGATAAGTCTGTAGCAAAAAGATAAATTAAATGCCTTTCTACAAGAGATAAATCAGTGTAAATGTCTTAAACCAGAACCCTCAGTAGAACAGAGTGTAGAAAGGCAATAAATTGCCAACACTGAAGGTGTTCTGCTGAGTACAAAGGAAGCTAAAATGAGGACATTCTGAGTGAGCTGGAATGTACCTCGGTTGATCTCGTACTTGCAGAGCAAAAGTACTAACTAACTATCATACCTGCTTCAGAAAAAGCCCTTGAAAGGATTCAAAAATTTAAGAGATCAGAAAGTATAAGCAAGTAGCTAAAAATTGAATGCAGAACACATTCCCCTGCCCTCCCTTTTGCCTTCAGCCTCTCCACCCCCCCAAAAAAAGGAAGACGGGGAAGCATAATTCTTGCAAAGAAGTGTCTGTCTGACGAATGAGGCAGTAGGTAGTGGATAGGTGAGGGGAAGGAGATAATTGGACCTATGAACCTATGATGCAGATTCCCTAAAACTGTTATTTGCAAATCTCTATCCCCTTTTGCTTCAAAGGGAATAGTGAGTATTGAGAATTGAGATAGGGAATACTGAGAGAGTGGTGAACAAAATTAGAGAAGCGAACCTGATAGACAAGCAGTAACAGAGACAGTAAAGAAGACTTGAGCTCCTCAGCTGCTTGTTGGTGCGGCACCAAGAAACACAGCTAGTGCTATTAGTGAGCTCTGTGGCCCTGCGTGTGTGTGCCTCCCTGGGCAGTGTGCTCAGCCCTGCTACTGTCTCAGCTAGCACCTGGGAAAGCAGCAGCGGCAGCCGCCGCCATCCCTCTGGAATGGAGAAGCCTCAAAGTCTCAGGCTGCACTGGGCAATGCTTGAGTAGCTCCTGGGCCTCAGTACCTGCCAAAGTCCCTTGGAGGCCCTGGCCTTTATAACTTTTCTTAGGAGCTAAAGTGATCATTTTGTCCCCTGGCCCTTGGCTTTCTTAGCATTCCCTGGATGCAGCCACTGCTGTAGTGTCTCCGCCTCGAGGGAGTGCACACTCCTCTCTGCATGTTCCAGCAGTGGACCTTTTAGCAGGTCTAACACTATATGGAGAGGGCAAGCTAGCCCGGAGTGGGGGCTAAACAGTCAGGAAGTCTGTTCCATACATGCATGTTCCAGTCATTAGCAGCACTGCAGGCTGTTAGAGCCAAGTGTCTTCCAGAGCCAGCTAGCTTTGAATTCTGTGCTTTGCGCATTCCCCTGTCTGCCAGGACATCTTGAAACGCTCCTGCAGGTGCCTGCAAAGGGCTCCTGGAGCCTTTCTGGGGACAGTAGGTAGTGTTGCCCATTAACCTAGCAGCCAACCGCTTCTCAGCGTTCCTTTCAAACCCGCTGTCCCTTCACCTGCAGAGCTGCAGTAAGGCCCTTTCCTGCTTCGGTAGCCTTAGAGTTTCTGCTCAGCAGATCTTTGGTAGTTTGGTGTCAATTGCAAATATCTTATGTAAGTATCTTATGGTTGGCTAGCTTTTTAGGAGTTCCTATACGAGAATTTTTCTTTCTTACCTCAGAAGACCCTACCATTAAAAAAAAAAAATAACTAATCAAGTTCAGCTATTTTCATCCTAGAACACTTGGTAATCATAAGATGAAAACCATAAATCACTGAGCATTTCTGAGGGATGAAACCTATCTTATATCTCTGTGTTCTATTCGAAGTTGATGCATAAGGTGTCAAGGTAGTTCTGAAATGCTGGAAATAGCCACTGTTGCTGAGCTGCTCTGCAGCGTTACATATAGGTGTAGTTTTCTAAGGTGTCATGTTTCGGCCTTAGAGAATTTCATTTGCGTATGCAAAAAGGTTTGGAACAGATACAGATAAGCTGGACAAGGGCATTTGCTGAGTCCGTAATATTTAGTTATGATTCCTGCTGTGCTTTGAGGTGCCATATATTTAAAACACTTCACCTCTCTCTGTATTTTTGCATTGTTAGGAACATATGTTGTCCTCTGTTGTACAAGATTGCAGAGCAGTGAAATCATGTTGTAACCACTGTGCTATACAGAGAAAGATGTGAGTTGTACATTTTCAATTAAATAGGTTTTCCAAGCCTGTTTAAGAATAAAATAAAATCATAGAAAGACTGATCTGGTCTGCTTTGGTAAAGCTCAGTGGACAACTTTAAATTTATACCGCAGCTATTTCCTTGGTTTGATAAGGAGATGATAAAGATATGATAAAGAAATACAGGGGAGACAGCAATCATAGAAATAAGCAGGAGATGATTAAAATAACCCCTGAAAAGATCATGAGGTACTAAAAACTTCCTCGCTGTATTCTCATAGGTAATGAGCAAGTCATAATCTGTCTGTGGGGCATGAAACTAGATATTGCAGCAAATACTGGTATTGTTAAGCATGAGATTAGGAATGCTGGGTTTGAAATTTAATAGGATACATTGTTTCTCTAGTTAAACTATATAAACCTTTGTTAACGGGAAAGCTCTGGAAGGTGTTCCTAATAGCTGATATCATGTGAGCACATCTCTATTAAATCCTGAAATTCCCATAAATGGTAACTGTCCTTATGCATATTCATGTCTGAACAAAATTAGTTTGTTTATTCAGATTCATGAAATGTCACGTGTGTATATGGCAAACAGTTCACTATAAACAAACAAAACACTTAGAAACCTTCTCTTTCCTAAATGTCATAAATATTGCAAACAGGGTATCAGCTTTTCAGTCTATCTGTAATGCTTTCTTTAAAACATAGTTCTTTCATAGTTCTTACAGAATTGTGAAATAAATGCTTATTAGAATAAGAAACTGTTTTCTTATAATAACTGTCTTTTCTTTCTGTTGTTTTTTTCAGCCTCCTCCAGGAAATGTGAAAATGCCTAATGTACCCAGTACCCAGCCAGCAATAATGAAACCAACAGAAGAACCACCTGCTTACACACAAATTGCAAAGGTTTGTCTGTAACTTTCAGGCAGTAGGTTCCTTCTAATTACGGTTACATAAACGCTCTTCTGGAACTCTGTCTTTTTTTTTTTTTTTTTAAAAGGCATTACTTTCCTAATGATTTGGGAGAAAGAGTATTGTTTTTAAGTAACCTTTTATCACATGAATTCATAAAATATTAGGTCACTCTTCATTCATCACTGGAGATTCATAATTACAGAAAATGGACTCAGAGTATTTATTTAGTGTTTTAGCAGTGTCTAACAATCTGTATTTTTTTCAGGAGCATGCCTTGGCCCAGGCAGAACTGCTAAAGCGCCAGGAAGAACTAGAAAGAAAAGCAGCTGAACTAGATCGCAGAGAAAGGGAAATGCAGAGTCTCAATCAGCAGGGTGGTATGCATGCATTTTTTTTATTGTAAAAATTTAACTCTTTCTTAAAGCCCAAAAGAGGAAATTAGGGTTAAGCAAATGATCGTGTAAAAGATACTGCAAATCAGAAATTTTATGATGTGACTGAGGTGAGCAAGGTTCTTTTCCTACTGACTTCTTTGAGCACTCCTTCAAACTCCTTTTGAAACACTGCAGGTATCTTTACTGGAAGGGCATACTGGAATGTATTCTGTGACATGTGAGCAGATGAGTGTACAGGAAATCTATGGTGACTGATAATATGTTATAAACTTTTTCTGATTTACAGGTAGAAAAAATAACTGGCCACCTCTTCCTGAGAATTTTCCAGTAGGTCCATGTTTCTATCAGGATTTTTCTGTAGACATTCCTGTAGAATTCCAGAAGACAGTGAAGATTATGTACTATTTGTGGATGTGTAAGTATTTTGAACAGAAAAAAACAAAATGTCTATTCAAACATGATGATCCTTGTCTGCTAATTTGACTTTTGCAGCACTGTAGTGAGAAATGTATTTTTTAAATTCAGAAGTCAAATGCTGAAGTTAAATCTTTGTATTAAGATTCAATTTTAAGAGTATTGAACTATTTCATGGAAACTTTGTGGAAGAAAGGGGGAAATATTACACCTAAGGCAGTTTGCTTTGTACCTTTTGCAGTTTTCTGTTTAAATATTCTTCTTGTTATAAAACAATCTCTGACCATTTATTACCTTAAAAATAATTTTACAATTTTTAAAATAAGCTTATGTGTTAAGAAATCTATATCACAGTATTTATGAGACTTGTGTCAAATGTGCAGTGTTCATTTGTCTAGAGCTTACTAGTGTTTTAGTCTATTTAGAAAAAATAAATAATACGACATAAAATAGCAGAAGAAACAGTCCATGTTTATAACTATTCTTTGTACTGCAGAAATGCTCTAAGTAGTCTTTGAGGGATTAATTTTGCATTTGTTCTGGCGCTGTGCTTTGATAGGAAAAATGCTGAATGAATGAAAGGTACAAATGCCATGACCTTTGATTCTTCCGTCTCGTCTGCTGTGATGAGACCTTAATCCTGAGGCTGAGGAAATTACACAGATTTAGGTGCTTTGACGCAATTAATATGTATATTAGTTTGCTGGGGGATGTGACTTTCAGACTTTTTTTGTATTTTTTCAGAGTTTCAGATTTAACAAATTAGTTAATTTAGGAATCTTATTGTTGTGATTGTACCATGTATTTGAATCACGTAAAATGAGCAGTCCGCACTAAATCTAGTGAATTTCACTTCATTTTCTATAGTTTTATCCACTCTCTTTAAATAACCAGCTGAGTAAATCCTACTACAGAATTTGAGATTCGTCACTCTCGGAAATCTGACAGACATTTAAGATTTATATCAAGTCTAAAATCGACTCCAGAATTTTAGAATAGTTAATAACTTTGGCCATTTGCAGGATTGAGTACGAAAAGAGCTGTATGTTTTAAACTCAAAGTGACATTGGGCAGTGAGAATTAGAATATTAATACTCTTCCCCCCCCCCCCCCGTTATGGGAATAAATGAAGAAACCACTGGTGTTAATTATTTCAAAACAGATGAGAATTCTGCTTTTATTTTAGGCTGACACATTTTCTTCTAAGTAGATTGAGACTTTAACTGGATCTCCTGATCTTTTCCTTCTTTAGCCTTCGTTCTCTATCTCTGACTTAGGGATCACTAGGGAAGGAAGAGGGCATATTAAAGGAAAAGCAAAAAAATGAAATGAGGAAGCCTGAGGAATATTGCAGACTAGAGATAATGGTTGAATACAAAGCTCCCTGCTTCATGGCTGGCTGTTCAGTCAGTCCTTGTGAATGCTCTTTTCACGAATATACCTCCATGGTTTGGCTCATACTTGATTAGAGTGGCTGTGCTTCCTAGTGTGGCTGCACTCATGAGCACAGCAAATCAACCTGCTTCTGCTTGTTGCTCTGGTCTGTACTTTATTTCATCTTCCAGAACTTGCTAACTCTTAAAAGGCCATGAAGATAATAGCATTCAGAAAAATCTAGTTCTAGCTGCTCAGTGCAGGTTAATTTTCCTGCAAGTCTTTAGCAGCCCTAAGAACACACCTTTCTGTTTCATTGTTTTCTGTGTTGTCTTGATTAGTAACAATGTGAATATCTTTATTCTTAGGCCTTACGTTTCTGAGGAAACCTTCTTATCTTATATGGGATTAATAAACTCTGAAATAGATTAATGAATTCGAGAATAGAGGTTGGCATGTGTTCCAATGCCAGTGAATTTCTTCACCTTTTCTCTGTTGATACCAGAAGTCAGAATGATCTTATTCCTTCTTGTGGTTTGCTCTCTGCAAGGATGATTTCTCTTTTTTATTCAGAGACTGTCCTTTTCTGCTTGTTGTTTTAACTGACTGACTGCTCTTGTATTTGTACTGTTGTCTTTTTTTTTTTTTTAACACTCATTGCTGCTTTAGGGAGAAGTGGATAGAATGGCAATTTTGCTGGCTCCAGTGGCTTTGAGTACTACTCTTTAGATCTTTGTATATTATTACTAGTGAGATGCCGTGTGTGTTCTGACCAAAAAACATTTTTGGCTTGAAAGCCTGTGGTTTCCAGCTGCTTTCCCACAGCCTGACAGGACGCAAAATGAGCAATATTGATTTTCAAACAATGTTTGTTTTTCTGAAATTAAAATTGAAGAGTTGCTCAATCTCATAGCAAGTATTTGAGGTATTTGGATTTGCTGTTTTGTATTGTTTGTGAAACTTTTAAAGATTTTTTTAAAGACAAATGACTTAAGCTATAGATTCTGATGAAAATTTACCTTAAGGTACCAATTGTTACAGTATTTATTCTGTTTAGGAGAGTTCTGTTTCCTCCGTCCTTCACTCTGATGAACAGTCAGTAGCACCTGTATCGGTCTGTGCTGGGTTTTGTTTTGTGCTCATGTTTGCTTTGCCTGCCCTTGAAGACTTGCAAGCAGGGATAATTTGTAAGTGCTCTGTTCCTCCTTCCATTGCAGCCTGTTCCAGTATGTTGCCTTCCTTATCATTAGAAAATGTTCCCCAGCATATAATTTAGTTCTCCTTTGCTGTAATTTATTTTTGTTGCTCTGTCCACTGTTTCTATGGAGAGCACATTTTTTCCCCCTTAGTTATCTTTTTTCTTTTTCTTGTCAAATTAGTATAGTTCAGTCAGCCTTTCTTTGTAGGTCATCTTTTCTAGACTTCTCATTGTTTTGTTGCTGTCTTGTAGATTCATCATTTCATCTACTCCAAATTATTATAGGGTTTGTTTTTTGAGTGTATAGCATCCAGAATTGGACAGTGTGGACTGTCCAGTATTTCAGCAGTCTTAATATATAAGACAGAAGGAAAAAACATTTCCCATGTTGGGTAGAATGTGCTCATGTTCCTGCATCGTTTTGTCAACAGAGAAGTGTTTGCATCTCACTGTGTTTTTCTCTCTCATGCAAGCTAAAAAAGAGCAACATAGACAAGGAGCAAAAGCTAGACTATAGCTGAAGCCACTCTGATACAACCCAAGGCTGTACGTGATCAAATGTCACCAGCTTTTTCTTTGCTTACCAGGTGCACGTGGCTGCAAAATTCTCCATTTGAGGGACATTCTGTTCCAGTTGAGCCTGGGAAGAACACTCATCCTTCAGTCCATCCTAACGAGGACTTTGGTTTCCTCAGACTAACCTCAAAAGAAACCCACTGAAATTAACATTATTACAAAAATCTTATTTCATAATGTCCCAAATGGGACTGCAAAATAGCCTCCATAATGTAGATGTCAACTAGACAACATCAGTGCAACTTGCAGTCTTTATACAATATTCACTTTAAAATATTAATGGATACTGAAGTATAGTTAAGTAAGATTGAGAATGTGATGCATCTAAGTAGGGTTCTTCTGTAATAGGAAGTCACACTAATAAAAATGAAGTTGTGAGTCTGAATATTTCATTAAACTAGTATAATTCCTCACTTTTCACTCTTATTTTGACATGAGTGCTCTTTATAAACTCACTTTCTTTCTCAGCTAAACTAGAAAAGACTTTCCTAGGTCACTTCATGTGGAGTGCTGCACCGCTACAGCCACGCTGGTTCATGACAGGTTTTATCATATAGATGTGGCATATATATGGCATATAGAAGAGGCACATGGGAAGAAGATACTTGAAGCTGTTAGCCTGAATGTAAAAACAAATGTCTTTTTATTTAATGGGAAAATTCATATAGATCCACTGGCTCAAAGACTTAACGCCTTTCTGTAGTTTGCAAGATTTAGAGAAAGGAGAGTGAAGAGGGATTATCAGTGAATTCCTGTGTCTTCATCTGGTGCCACTCCTGTGTTTTTGGAGTCAAGATTCCTTGTGATAGCAGTGGGACTGAAGCAGCCCACCGGGTTACCTGTTTTGTTGTGCAAAGGAGCATCAGTGGGTCAGTGTGACAGGGCTGAGCCCTCTCCTGCACTGAGAGCAGTGCTTGCTTTAAACTCATCCTCCTGCCTGTGGAATTGCAAAGAGTTCAGCCTATCTGCAAGTTCACATTCCACCAGAAGCTGGGACCTTGCTAGTAAGCAATGGGGTCTTTTTTTTCCAGTAAGAGGGTAGATGAAAAAAGTAAGTATCACTCTGGAAATTTTCTCATATTTATCAGAGAAAGGTAGGGGCTTGAGTGTGCTCCCTGTGTTGTACTTCATGATGCCCACACAGCAAATCTCAGCAGTGAGTTGCTTTGCTAGCTTCTTGGAACAATGCTTAACTATTTAAATGAATTAAATGCTCTTTATTTAAAAAGCACAAAGCTTTCTGTTTCTGGTGATTCTTACGAGGGAATGTGATTTCTGTGAGGAAAAAGTGTGTTGACTTCCTTTAGCCCTTCATGTTAGGATGTGGGCATTTTAATTTTTTATTTGTTTGTTTGTTTTCCCCAGTAAGATAATGTGGGGTTTATTTAAGTTAAAAGGGAAGGAAAAAAAAATGAAGAGACCTTTTGAGCATCTTACCAGCTCTTTGGTTAACATTCCCATCTAGTAAAAGCAGTGTGGATAAGTGAGAATTTGAATGTATGCAATGTATTACTCTGAGAAGCAATAAAGAAGTAAAGCTGTAAGGAGGAACATAAGCTGTGAGGACTTATACCTTTGAGTGACTAAAATGCTTCTCTGAACTTCAAATAAATAAATAAGGAACCCTTGGTGCAAGGAACTGTTTGTGTCCTCTTACTTATAAATAATATATTTTATCCTGGTCCACAAGGACAGAAACTGTCCTTGAGACAACATAATCCCTGCCAAATGACTAGATATTGCTGAACTGGAAGTAAAAATTCACTTCCATCTTTTAAGTGCCTGCAGAACAAACCACTGTGCCAGATAGCTTAAAAATTGGAGTTTTTGCTAGAAATCACTCTTAAGAAATCAATTAGGATATTGATTTATTGTTAGTATGCCTATGTTTTCTTTACAGTGTTCCATTTATTTGGGTATCATTTTAACATTTGAAATAATTTATTGTAAAGACATAATGTAATTAAGACTTTTTTTTTTTTTTTTTTTTGGTTTTGNTTTTTTTTTTTTTTTTTTGGTTTTGGTTCTACAGTCCATACAGTGACACTGTTTCTTAATATCTTTGGATGTTTGGCCTGGTTTTATGTTGATCCGACACGAGGGGTTGATTTTGGATTGAGTATCCTCTGGTTCTTGCTTTTTACTCCTTGTTCTTTTGTCTGCTGGTACAGACCACTTTATGGAGCTTTCAGGTAACAACTTCAGCTTGGCTTAAGATGCTAATAAATAAGTAAATACATATTTATCAACTTGCTGAAATGTGTTAACCTAATAGCATTTGCTGAATTATCTTTATGATAATCCTTCAATATGATTGAGTGACTGCCTGTCATTAGAAACAGGTATTATATTTGTCATCAGGTCAATTGCTATATCTGAAGTAGATGGCAACATTTAGGAATATCATGGAATATTTAAAATATTCATAGCTTCTGCAATTGCACATAACATTTGTAGGAAATATTTAACTTTGTATTGGGTTAATGAGGTTTTTAATTGAAATTCTCATTGAATCTCTACCCCATCACACCAAGAATCTGAGCAGGTTAGTAGGTGAGGGTTTATTATTACATGTTTGGTTTGCTGAAGGAACTTGCTAAAACTCTACACTTAAAAATTGACATTTTTAAGTAACCTGCAGCATCTGTTATTGCAATAGATTGAGTTCCTTGAGAACAAGGAGGGCAGGTTTGTAGCTGTCCAGCTCCAGTATTTCCTGCAGCTTTTAGCGCTCTGTGTTTCTCAGGTTTCACAGCCTGAGGTGCAGTATCCTTGTGTTCCAGAATACTGTGCTTTCCGGGCTAAATAGAGCATTTTGGGGAAAAGCAGCATACAGACCTTCTAAAATCTTGTGTTCTTGCAGCATTTCTTGGGGGTTGATATTATTATTGAAATGAATTCAGGAGAATCAGGATATTGGAAAACACCATTTAAGTACACTACTTTTTGTTGAGAGAGGTTGATATTAATAGCAGTTGAGCCTAACCTTTAGGCTAAATTGCATTTTTTGTCAAGAATATATTGCTGCAACCACACATATTTGAATGCGTTAATTTCTTCTATTCTTATGGTTAGAATATGAGGACATTTTTCTTTTACTAGAGACATTTTCTATCACAATGTGTATTTAATAGATCCAGTAGAAGTAGACCAATAAAAATATAGAAAATAACCAGTATTTTCACATGTTAGCTTTTGTTAATTGATTTGAAAACTTACATATCCTCCTTTAATATTGCTGTTTCTAAATAAATATTTTTTCAAAATTAACTGATTTGTTGAAGGTGTTCACAGTGTTGCATTATCATTCAGGTTTTTAGATCTAGCAGATGTTAGTGTTTCTTAATATTGATTGTATGGAAAAATAAAACTGCTGCTTTCATTTTCAACTTTCAGTTTCTCAGCTGAAAATAAAATATTTACTGAACAGATTGAATAAACAGAAGTTAAGAAACTTCTGCAAAAAGTGCTAGTTTTAGTAAAATCTTGATCCAGGTTCTTAATCTGTGACTTAACTAATTCAATGATTTTTACTTTTACTTTCTTTACAACTTAGGCAGGAAGTGTACCACATAATTATTAGTTTTGATAATAAGTTGAAGTCTTTATTACAAATGTTGCTTGTACATATATTTTAGATACTCTGTCTTGAATGTTTCTAGTCTTGTCAAACTGGCATGTTAGTAATTTGAACAGCCAGTGTATAATGTATCTTTTGTTTCTAAAGAAAAGCCGCTTCAGTATTCTGTTCTGCATTATTTTCTAATAATTCCATTATAGATTTTATTTCCTTTCACTAGTAAAAGAATTTTCACCCACAGTGACAGCCATGTAAACATCAACCTGCAAGCAGAACAGACTCCTGTTCTTCAAGCACTGTAGCAAAACATACCCAGTTAGTTGTGTGCAGGAAAGCTGTGCTGGCTACAGAGCGTTATGATGCACACGAGGAGATGGAGATTTATGGCTTTTCTCACCTCTAGCCTTTTAGGAGGCTGAAGTGGTGTAGTGTGAAATAAGCAGTGTTTTACCAAAAAAAAAAAAAAAAAAAAAAAAAAAAAGAATATTTTAGATTGATACTATAGTGTTCTTCAAAAGGCATCAGTTTCCTGGTGGCTCTAATTTTTTTCTCCTTTTTTCAGGAGCGACAGTTCATTCAGGTTCTTTGTGTTCTTCTTTGTATATATCTGCCAGTTTGCTGTACATGTACTTCAAGCTGCCGGATTCCAACGGTGGGGAAACTGGTCAGTATTCAGCTCTCTGTAGCACTTGTGCTATCTACATACAACAAGCAAACAACCCCAAATCCCCTATTGGAGATCCTGGATAGTTTGTGGGGTTTGTTTGTTTGATTGTTTGTTTTTGTTGTTTTTTTTCCACCCCCAGGAAAGTCTTATTTCACTGGACTTGCTACAGTTATCCCTCAAAAAAGCATTCTTAGATTATAATATTAATACACTGATCAATGAAAAATCTAGCTAAAATTTGAAGAATGAGTAGACACTGTATTCTGCTGAATATAGTGGTTATATCTTTCCTTTAAAATAATATTTGAAAGCTAGTCTCTTTATCTGAATTACCTCCCTTTTCTATAACAGTTGACTTTTCTTTTTGATGCTTCTAGGTTAAAAAATGTTTTCCGTAAAGCAACCCATAATTAGTTACTTTTACTTGAATTACAGTTTCTGTGTGAAACTTCAAGGTCTAATAGTTAGGTTTTACAGGGAATAGCTAGTAGTTTGCATTCATAGTCACAACTCCTGCAAAAAAGGTCAATGAGTTTGAATTAACTAAAAGCCCCAAAGCGACGGACAGTGGAGAGAGCTGTTGCTGCAGCAGTGACGCTCTGCGTGCGAGGCTTTGCAGCCGCCCGCGGCGCGCGCGGGGCACGCAAAGCAGCGCCCGCTTAGAACCGCAGTGCCAGCAGAAACCGGTGCGGCTCTTTTTGCTGTCGAACCTAGGGGTTTGATTTTCCATAGGTACCTCTCAATTGACATGGGCAAATAGTAATATAGTTTTAGAGGGGCAGCTCTTCAGGTATGTGGTGTATTTGCTGTTACAGTTTTATGGTAATGTTAAGATTTTTAACAATGGGAACATGTTTGAAGTTGCTACCCTAGGATCTTCTCCCTCTCTCCATGTCGCATTTCTTCACCACTCTGCTCAAGGATAATCAGCTTTAGCAGATAGTTTCATTGTATACATTGGGAAAACAGAATTGAAGTGCTAAAAGCTTATTATATATGTTATTTATGTATTCAATAATTCACTTATAATTTCCATTACTTAATCTTCCAAAATACTCCTGGTTGATCAGAACCAGGAGGTTCTAGAGCTTCTGTAGAGGTAGATACCTGTGGCTGGTCAGTTCATGTGCTTTGATGACTTTGATGATAAAACCTGTCATCCTCTGTTCTTTTTTCCTTCAGTGGTTGGATTTCATCTCTTACTGGGCTTAATAAGAGTATCCCTGTTGGCATTATGATGATAATCATAGCTGCACTTTTCACAGCATCCGCTGTTATCTCATTAGTTATGTTTAAAAAGGTAAGTCACTTATTTTCCACTCTTCTGTTGCCCGTTTCCATTGGACTCTCCTGCTTGAGAGAGGTTCCCCCACACAAACTAATGGGGATTCAAAGATACTCTTGGGAGTCTTTCATTAACAACAGTGCTTGTCTAGTACTCTCTGCATCTACTGTCAGCGACTTAGGAAACACTGTATGTACTGCAGTGCACTTAGTTTCTGCAAGTTGAAGTGTGGAGGAATAGCTTGGAGCAAGAGGAGCTGGGAGGAAGGCTCCCTCTCCTCCTGCTGCCCCAAGGAGAGCAGAGTGCACAAACTGCCACCTGATTTCCTGCTCGGCAGCAGTTCCTCGGGCCGGGTGAAGCACGGCCTAGTTTGAGTGATTGCTGAAGTTTCAGCTCACACCAAATCCTTTTAATAAGGAAAATGGAGCTGCCTGGCACCTGGGAAATGCATGTTTATTTCTCTGCCTGCAATATCTTACATTTTGTTGTCAGGTAATGATTGTGTAGTATAAAACTTCAGAGCAGATATTTTTTTTCTCTTGCCTTCATTTATTTGGAATTTCTAGCCAGGCCTAGCCAGAAGGCCTATGTTAGCACTAACATGCTAATAAATTTTTGATGTTCTTTTGATTAAATCTAACTGGAAATTCCTGTGATCATGTGCTGACAGTTCTAATAATTTTGCCTAATTCCCAAGTTAAAGGTAGCATGAAATTTTAAGTATATCCTTGAGATGTTCTGTCACCTTGTTTGCTTTCTGTGTAAATACTCAGGTGCAGAGGAAAGAAACAAGCAAAAATGTATGCTTTTTCTCGTACTCTTCTGCCACCTGCATCTGGATTTTTATGAAAACCTGTGTTTTTTATCCTTTATAATATTAATTTTATCTTTTTTAATATTCAGACATAGCTTGGCTCAATAAATTCTTGTAGACATGTAAATCTGAGACATTAAAAGGTGCCAAAAGAAGTGATGTAGGAACAAAATAACCAGGATATTATTGTGACAGTGGATTCAGAAGGGACATTTTTGGTTTGTTCCCCCGTGTTTTTAACATGCAGTTCCGGACTCCGCAGCGTGTGAGCCAGGCTGTGGAGCGATGGAGCCAGAAGCAGCTTTTGCCTTTGGTGGTGGCTGCAGCGCTGGGGCCGCGGCCTCGCTGCGTGTCGGGGAGTGGCACGTTGGGCTGTGGGGAGCACCCCTGCTTGCGGGAGCACCCCAGCTCCTCGGGGTCCCGCGCCCAGCCTGCCCCACACGGGCGCTCGATCCTCTGCCCGGCCGCCCAGCGCGGCGCCAGGCGTCACGCGCCGCCCCTTCTCTGCCCGCAGGTGCACGGGCTGTACCGCACGACGGGCGCCAGCTTCGAGAAGGCGCAGCAGGAGTTCGCCACGGGGGTGATGTCCAACAAGACGGTGCAGACGGCCGCGGCCAACGCCGCCTCCACGGCGGCCAGCAGCGCCGCGCAGAGCGCCTTCAAGGGCAGCCGCATGTAGGGCACGGAGAGCCCCTGCACCGCGCCCTCCTCGTGCTTCGGTCTCCAGTCACTCTGTTCCCTACAAGCCTGTGGCAAAATACACGCAGCATGTTTGGCTCTTCTTCAGCTGTGCATGGGTACAATGGGAAAGGTTGGTTTTAGTCTGTCACAGATTCATTTTAGAGAAGATAACCATTCTTTGCCTCCCTGTCCCATCCCTTTACAATGTTGCATTCAGGAGAACAGAACCCTCCCTAGTTTATGCAGGTTGAATAATTTCAACAGTTGGCCTAAGAATGACATTTGGTACTTTATGAACCAATAAATATATTAGCGAGTTGGAAGTTTTACAGTAGTTTACTCCGGTATTTTTTTTTTCCTTAACTTCAGGAAAGCACCTTGGGTCAGTTATTTTTGTTTATAAGAACTTGTTTCCCTATTTCTCCTATGAGAAACAGGGTAGACAACTGTAGAAAGTTAGGCTTGGCTGCTGCTATTGCAGTTTCAGCAGCTGCTGTAGGACAGCTACAAGTAGAGCAGATGCTATGAATTCTCCTGTTTTTTTAGGGTAAGTCTTTTGATATGACCCTGTAAGTTTGCATGAATCCTGTTGAGTTATTTGATCATGTTTAAATAGTGTTCTGGTCTAGCATTTACCTGCACCACTTGATAACTGTAGGGTTTGTTTGCCTCTCTTTTCATGGCGTGGTCTCTAGGTGTGAGGAGTGACTTTGGGGCGCAGCCCTTCTCGGTGGTAGAAAGCGCAGGGCAGGTGCAGCTTAGGGACATGATCAGAGACCTAAGTGGGACATATTTGCAGTCTTTAATTTCGGTTTTCGTGTCCTGGGGTAATCGTCCTGCGGGTAAAGAAACCTCCATTGCCCTTTAGAACACTTGTTTCTTGCCCGCCACTTCAGCTGCAGTGGTATTTTTGTTGTGCTTGGGGTTTCTCTTGTTTTTTTCAGTGGAGATTTGTGTTTAACGGTGGTACTGAATCTCTAGCCTTGTCAGTCACTCTGTTTACTGCTTGTCCAGAAATCCAAATATACAGTATTTAATTTTCTAACAGGAATATTGTCTCAAATCAAGCTTTTTCAACAATGGCATTTAACAGATACTTGAATTCATTTTAACGCAACTCAGCCTTCTTTGTGATTTGATTTAAGCTATGGGGGTGAGGGGAAAAAGACATTTTAGCTATTTTGAGTTGATAAAGTGAGAAAAATCATTTTACAAAATTAAATTTTAACTTAGTCTGAATGCCTAAAGGGTTAGGCAGTCTGTAATGGTATTTCTCCTCATAATATTGCAACCTTTATTTAAGTCTAACGCTACGGTGATGGCTCTCTCTTGAAGCCCAGGTGAGTGACACCTGTCTCAAACACACACCCACAGACACACGCTGCCTTAGGCTGTGTTTGTTTAAGCTCGATTTCAGCAAATCCCGGCCCGCGCTGCTGGGCCTGGGCTGTGGCCGAGCTTACGCAGCCCGCGACGCGACTCCCGCTTAGCGCCGCTCGGCACCAGGATTGTGAGATCCCCCTGTTCTGCATGTGGGACTGCCTGCGCCGGGGAGCAATCCCCTTTCACTGCCGCGTATTGACAATAACCTGAGAGCATTAGCAAACATAAAGCCTGTGGCTTAATCCCCGGAGCAGTACAGTAGTCTGAGTGAAGTCTCTGTTAGTATCTTTTTCTTTACCAATGTCTTTAAATCCTACTTGCATTAGACTAAGTGCAGCAGGCTCACCTGTGCTGTGGTTCATATTCATGAATGTATGTATCTTGAAATACTCTTCATGTCAAGAAGTTAAAGTTATTCAAATAACCCATTTAATAAGGACACTAAAGTTTTATGCCCACGGCATAGAATTCTCTTTGCTCTTCCCTCCTCTCTTTTTCCCTCTTGAATATGAAGACATATACAGATAGTATCCTTGCAATTAAGTTTAAGCTGAAGTCTGCATAGCAATGTACATTACCAGAGCATCATATGGAAAAAAAAGATATAAACAAATAAGACCTGAACTTGACAGGTATGTGAGGGTTTTTTTCCAAATGTTTTAGTGTTGCAAAAACATATTTAATGTTCAATGTATAAGGCGTATTGATTTGTAATATCAGGAATTGGGTGTACAGACTTCAACCGCATAAGTAAGTGAAATGGAAATTTAACTACATAATTTGTCTAACTCAAAAATCTCTGGCACTTTTACAGCTCAGGAGGGAGGGAAGAGTTTGAGTTTAGCTCAGAAGGCTGAGATTTGTTAAAATATTTTGTATTTAGCTGAAGCTAGATTTTACAATCTCTTATTAATCAGACTATGGCACCCAGTTAAGTAGTTGTTTTGTAGTAGTGCGGCAAATTGAGTACAGAAAATGAAGTTAAAACACTGGAATGGCACTAGTCATTGAGCTGTAAGTTAGCAGTTGGCGTTATTTATCTGAGGGATGTGTGTATATTTTGTAAATTACTAACAGCGCTCTGCCATCCTGGTGACTGTCCTGGTTCTGTACAAATGCACTTATTCTGTCCCTCTGTTGCATGTCTGAGTAGTTCAGAAGTTTTGTATATTTATTGTATTAACACAGTGTCATAGAATAAACAAAAAAAGACTTTTTTTTTCCCTGGATGTTTGCTCTGTATAGTTTTGAACAATATAGAGACTTTTTTTAAAGGTCAGGATTATGTGTAGGAGGGCTGATCTGTGTAAAAGTCTCACTTGTTTTTTATAATCCTGTATATAAATTCTGTAATGCTGCTGAAATGAGAAGTAAAATGTTGAAGCCATCCCCGCGGGCAGCGGCTCTGGGTCTCCCCCGTCCCGGGGACGGGCTGCAGCCGGCTCGGGGGCGGCGCGGGCGGCGGGGCCCGGCCCCGCTCACCTGCCACAGGTACTGAGTGAGCGAGCGCTGCCTCGGCCTTGTTCCAAGTAAAATGACATTGCTGAAAACAGCCCTGCTTTGGTACTGTTTCTTTTCCTCATTTCTGCATATTGAATTGACATGTCTGTCTAGCTGCTGAGTTCTGCAGGTTCTGTTTAGGTCCTATCCATGACTGTTGAATTTTTTCATATAATCTCAACCATAACAGCTGCTGTTTAGTCCCGTGTTCGTCACCAGGTTTTCTTTGGAGGACGCGACGCGGTGGGTGAGGAGGCAGTTTCGGGAGCGCTCCCCGTCTTGCTGCCCGTTAGCGTTGCCGCACGTGCTGGTGCTGCTCCGGGCAGCTCGCTCCCCGCCGCTGTTGAGCGACTTCCCTGGCGAAGGTGCCAACACCAAGCTGAGAAAGCAAAGGAGAGCCCCAGGAGAAGCACATGGGCCATAAATGTGCTTGAACCTGCTCGGCCATCCTTCTGGACAGGTACTCTGGCTAAGCAAGACACGACACGTGCCTGTGACTGATGCGTAATCGTGCTCTGAGGTACAGTGGGTCAGAGACCTCTGAGTTGTTTTAGTTAGAGAAATAGCTTGTAGTTTTTTCCACAAACCAATTTTGTGTCTGCTAATAGCTTTTATTCTGATTCTGAATTCTAGCACAAAAAGCACAAGCAATTTTTCTTTTAAAAATTTTATAGCCTTCTTTTCATCAGAAAAGAGCGTCAGTGCTTCATCTAAAAATGAAAAGCCATTAAGTCAGAAATATCTTAAATGAGAAAGTCTTTTCTAAAACCACAGCATTGTGGAACACATAGCTCTAATTTCAGGTACCACAATTGAGTCAGTAAGTGACAATAATTACCAAACCCAGTTGCAAAGTTAAAAGACTAGCAGAAATCACAGTGTTCCCCAGCGCTGTACTGTGAACACCTCGCTTGGGCTCAGCCTGCCCAGCATGTTTGAATTAAGGGAGCCGCGCTTTGGTTAAAGCTTGAAAACTCACAGTTTAATTATTTTTTTTTATTAAAAATCATCAGGTACACCATTCATGCTAACAATTGTACATAGTGGTGACTTGAGAACACAACAGCAGTACCACAAATAAACCATGGCTCAAACCCCAGCCCAGGCAGATAGCCCTGGCGTCCCCTTCGTGCTGCCCCGTGGCGGCAGCACCTGCCACTTCCGAGGAAAACATGGAAAGGCTCCTGTTACCAGGAGGAAGGTGCCTGGCTGGATGTGGGAGCATAATGCAAAATCGCAATGGGTTAGCTGAAAAATCTCTGAATGTTACTGAGTAAACCAGAAAGCTGATACAGACTAACCCGCTCAGTTGCTGCTGTGTTTTTTCCCCGTCTGTAGAGCACACAGGGGAACACGCTGGAGCCTTTACAGCTTTTTCCATGAGAACTGCTGAAGGAGGTGACAGCTCCAGCTCTGAACGGCTGCAGGGCATGGCCACAAGCCGCCCAGTTAGGCCACAGGAGATGTTTAGGTAACACCTCAAGCTACCTGCATTGGTGTTGCCTAAATCTGCTAACCCAGTGGTTCAGTTGCATCATTCTGTGCTTAATTTGCCCACATCACCAGACCTTCAGCCCTGCCTTCCCTGGGAAGTCCCTTTTCAAATATCTTGGTTAAAACCAAAAACTACCAAAAAAAAAAAAAAAAAAAAAAAAAATCCTGTTATTGCACATCTCACACAACTTTGTGTATATATTTTTTATATATATATTTAAATATGCTACACTCGGAAAAAAAAGTCTATGGCACTTGACAGAGGAGATCAAACCACAGATGTTTGAAGACTTCTTCAATACCACAATTTAAAAAAAAAATCAAAGTTAAAACTGAGCTAATTGGCACACAGGTTTTCAAGAATCCACAGCAAATATTTCTAGCTCCTATGCAGTGCGTGTACGTTGAGAACCAGTTAGTTACACTCCACAGCCCCGCCGTGACATTAATTAGGAAGTAAGTAGATTTCCTTTTATTTTTCCGAACCTCTTTGAAAGCTACTGCTGAAGTGACTTTCAGGACTCACCTTGAACAGATGTCACATTAAATGAGTGCACCATACACCTGAAAAAAACAACAACAAAAAAAAAAAACCTCATCCAGAAAAACCTGCACTGTATATATGTAATATATATATACACAGCATGTTATCGCTTGCTAGAAGAATAGGACCCTGAGAACAGAAATTCCGCCTTGATTCTGCCTTTGCTGCCAGCCCCTGCTCTAGGCGGGCCGGTGCTGAGCAGGGCTGTTCCCGCAGCGGGGTTGGTGACGCTCTGGCCGAGTGAGTTGACAGTAACACCAGCAACAAGCGAAGTGCTGGTTCCTGGCTACTAAGGCAAACAAAAGCAAAATATCTGCTGAAAATACTTCCCTTTGTACTTGGCAGCTCCAATATTAAATATTAATATTAAATTTTTAAGGTTTCTGGTGATCATAACAGAGGTCATCTAGTGGTGTGCATCCATGTAGCTCTGTATATACAGTTGTTGTTCGTGGTTTCCCTCACAGCGCAGCAGTGTGTGCCCCTGGCGCTTGCTCGCGCTGCCCACGTGACCGGGTCTCACGGCAGCGCGTCAGGCTTCCCCAGCAGCAGTGGCGATGCTGCACGGCTGCGTCGCTGCCCGCCCGGGGAGGCTGCCCCGGCCGCGCTCCCATTCCCGGCAGCTGCTGCCCTCCCACCCAGCTGGGCCGTGCCGGGACACGGAGGCCGCGCTGGGTGCAGCGCGCTCGGGCTGTGCCCCTGCCCTCCACACCACTCCGTGCCGAGCACTGGCTAACAGGCAGCTGCTCGCGGGGCTGGCTCCAGACCACGGCTTTGGGCTTCTTAAAAAAATTAAATATTGAAAAATAAGTGATTTACCCATTTTAAAATCTAGACTAGGGTGCAAGTAAGCTAGAGAAACAGGTTAATGCAAGCAGAGATTAAAGCTCTCCCTTTTTTAGTACCTCCGGCATGGACCTCCCTTAGCTTGCGGCAGCCCTCCAGCAGCGGCGGGAGCCTGTGAGCAGCAACAGCCCCAGAAACTATCTGCCTGAGCAGCAACACCTCTTGGAATAGCTGCACGTAGCCTGGGGACACACTGACCAGGCACTGAAGCTGAATTTATGCTCCATATTGCAGAGTGAGCAGCAGCACAGGCACCACTGGCATCGGGCAGGGCTAAACGTTACAAGACAGGGTCTAAGACGCACTTAGTATTTCATTAGGCTCCCTCGTCAGCTACATTCTCCTCTGTGCTTCTCTGCCACAGTTGCCCCATTCCTTTTGTTTGTTAACACCTTTTATAGTTGTTTGCCAAGGCATCTTTGGTAAGTGATGAGACACCGGGAGCGGTAACAACCGCCTGCCTTTGACGAAGGGATGTTGTCGTGGCCAGCTGTGTTTTAGTGCTGCTGATGTAGCTGGAAACCAGTCCATACTGCATGTGGTTACAAAACAGGAAAAGCTCTTCCCAGCCATTCAGAATTTGGCTTGGCTTCCTGAAAGATGTAAATGTATTAAACAGCTGGCAGTGGGACACATGGGTCTGTAGACCAGGAATGAGGATTCCCTGGCAAAGGCGAGACTGCTGCTGCTCAAGTGCTACGTGTGGCCCTCATTTGTCAAGGCAGCTGAAGTCTCAGCCCACGCGAGGCAGGGCCCAGCTGTGCTCTGGAGTGACCTGCTCGGGGTTCCGGGCATCGCTCACCAGGGCCCAGCTGCTCCACAAACCTTTGGCCCGGCATGTGCTCAAGGAAGAACGCTGTAAGGTTGCATCCCCCCTGAGGCACGGGCCGGTCCAGCAGCAGCTTCTCTGCCTGGTCACGCAACCCGAACCCTTCTACCTGCGGCGTAACGAGTGAGCAGCACGCGCTGTGCGTGGCAAGGCTCACGGCGAGGGAACGCGGCGGGATGAACTCGGCTCCTCCTTACAGACGGGTCTAAACAGCGGCACATCAGCGTCTCTTTTCCATAGATACTTACTCAGCAAGGCACTGCACTGCAAGGAAGGTCCGTTTCAAAAAAGCACCTCAATGAAAAGTACTGCACCAAAGCAGGTGGTGGTGGAACAGTCCCAGGAGAGGGCAGCCCTTGGGAACACAACCTGATTAGAATAGGCTTCTCCTTCTTTACATCAGAAAAAAAAAATGCTGGCTTTTTTATGTTAAACCCTAATTCTTCAGAGCTACCCAGGTGGGTAACGCAATCGGATCAACCAGGATTTGTCGGTTATATAACAACATTCCTTCTATATACAAGTGTTTCATCAGCACCACCCCCCCCCATCTGATTAATATATATCCGCTTACTCCTGATAATATAATGAAACTAAAGCATTCCCAAGTATTTACATCCTCTTTTCTTGGGATCCTCTCGCTGCTCCTCATTGCCCGGCAAGGAAGAAAAGCCGTGTCAGGAGGTGGGGGCTGCGGCGCAGGGCTCAGCGACCCAGGGAAGCGGCTGCGCTCCCAAGTCCCCAGCCAGCGGACGAAGATCCAGGCGCTGGCGCTCGCCCCGCTCCCCTCAGAGGAGGCAGATGAGGCTTTTCCCTTCCTCTATCTCTTCCTGCACCTTGTCGCTGGACGTGGCGATCTCCGCTTGCGCCGAGAACACGGCGCAGATGAAGGTGAGCGCGGTGCCGCCGATGGCCGTGTAGAAGGCCCAGCCCAGCGAGCAGTCGCCCAGCTGGTAGGCAGCCGCGTAGTGTCCGCAGTAGCTCACGGCCTTCTGGCACCCCCAACCCGCAGGGTAAAGTATCAAGCCTAAGATAAGGAAGAGGCCTAAAAATAAAAAAAACCAAAAAGGTCAGTTTTAACCGTGAGCAATCAGTTCAGCACCAAACGTGACACATTTAGTCGTGGCCATAACAATTATTACTCATGACAGGTCCCCTCCCCACAGTAAAACCAGGGTAAGACGACTGTTTCTAATCCATCCATTCTTCACTGCCTCTTCTCCAGAATACACCAATAAAAGACCAAAACTTTGCGCTCTTGCTACCATTTTTCTTGCAAGAGATTTACGCCGTGCAGGCCTTTTTCCCCAATTTTCATCCTTGTGTGCGTTCTGCATCCTTGGCTCCCAGGCAGTACTGCTAGCGAGGGGTGCACGGACTGCAAAGCGTTTGCATCCTCTCTACCTACTGTTTAGACTTGCACTTTCAAATACTTAGCAATGTTTGCATCCACTTGTGAGTCCTTATTTAGCAAGCCCACGTTCAGCTTTATTTAATTACGCACTGTAAACATTTTTGCTTTTTTTTCCTTCAGACTTTCCCTAAGTGGATTTTCTTGCTTAAGAAACCCCCCCCGCCCCGCAGCACATCCGCCTGCTCGGCCACGCGAGCCAGGGCCGCACGGCCGCCGCAGCGGCTGCTCCCACAGGGCCGGGCTCCTCCCCGGGGCTGCTCCCGGTGCAGCAGCGGGACAAGGGAAGGGGCCCTGCAGGTGCCGGGGCAGGAGCCACCTCTGCTCCACGCCCTCAGCTCCCTCCGTCACCCCGCGCGAGGAGGCAGAGCTGGGCCACAAGTTGTGCTTTCTGCGTGCGGCGCCTGCTCGTTCCCAGATTTCAGCCAATCCCTAGATTCTTACTACGCAGGAAAATCAAAAGCAGGCTTTGTTTCTTCCTCAAACTATGAGGTTCCTAGGAACAGCTGTGGAGACGTGTTCCCATCTTCGTGACTTGGTGAGAGTGGTATGTACTCCTACAGTACACTGGATTTCTGTAATTGCTGATAGAAATTCAGCTGGATGCAAGGAAAATCCCTCACCCTGAGCTGAAGATTAGCGCTCGCTGCTAGCCGGTTAACGTCCCCGGAACGCAGAGCACAGCGCCCGACTGTCTGCGACCGTCCGCAAGGGCCAGACCTCGCACAAAAGAAAGTCCCTCCCCATCAGCATTCTCGGCTGGTGACAGAGCAGCACGTGCATGAATGAGCTAAATGCCTTTCTCTGGGCAGCAAAATCCATTCGGGAGCGACACGGCTCATCCCGAGCCGGTCCGGCCCGTCCCTTGTGGAGCCCGGCACGCACTGAGCCCAGTGCACCCTCTGCTCCGCCCGGCCCGCGCTCCCAGTGCGCCGCACCCGGCAGCACCCGGCGCCACCGCCTGTTTGCCCGACTGCCCAATTCCTCCGACTGCCGCTGCCTCTTCTCATCACCAGCCTCTCGGTAGCTCAAGCCTCTACCACTGAAGGGACAAGCCCATCCCAAAGCGCCGCTATGGCCGCTGCTGCCTGGGCGGCGCTTTCCAAGCTTTCCCAGCCAGGGATGCTCCAGACTGGGCTTACGGCTGAGCCTAACAGGGCCGGGAGGCAGCAGCCCAGGACAAGGAGCCCACGGGGCTGCTGCTGCGCCGAGCAGAGCAGAGCCCCTCCAGGCGCCCCCATCGCCCCCTCGACTGCCCCGCACAAAGTCACATCTCTTGATTTTGTCTCAGCTGGCCTTCGATTTAATGCATTACATATTAATTCTGTATTTAATCTGCATTATGCAGCTTCTAAGCCATTTAATGCTGGACGGTCAGATTAAAGCATTAGGGCTTTTGCTACTCACAGAAGTACAAAGTTCATTCCTGTGCTGTATAATTTTGTCAGCATAATCTAATAAAGCAGCCGTTAGCTCCTGTCAACAGTTTGCTGGCTGGCAGCAGGGCAGCAGATATGAATGATAACAACTGCTTTTCCTTCATACATCAGTTCTGGCTGCCACCCCACGGAGCTCCGTGGCAGCGCCCGGCAGCTGGAGCTGCTCCCCTTGGGGATTTACCCTCCCTGGCGGGGCCGCAGGAGCAGTCTCTGCTTCCACATCCTCCCGTTTCTCCTTCTTATCACTGTGATGACTTTTCCTAGCTATTTTTCCTTCCAGGTGGTCATGGCGAGCTCTGAGTTACCTTTCAGGGTTTCAGAACACAGAGGCCTGTGGGAAGGCTCTGCAGAGCAGCCACCTGCCTATGAACAAGAGCAGAAAATTGTTTAAATGGATTTTTATCCAGACATCTCATCTACAACCCGTTGGTATTAAGCCTAATAAGTTGGCAGGTAACATTTTCCTGCGTTTCACTGGAGCGTATTTTAACACGTAACAGTTTAGTATCGGTCCCAAATTGTCAGCCTGTAAAAAGAGGCCTTAAGAAATAAAAGGCCACCGCATTTAGATTATTAAATTACACTCCCTCGCTGCAGCGTGGGCAGCCTGTTGAACACCGGCCTGCGGTACCTGAGCGACGTGAAAGCACCTCCGTTGTGCCGAGGCCTCGCGGCGCCCAGTGCACGCAGCGGCGCGAGAAGGGGCTCTGGCGGCGCCGGGGGCTCCTCGCTGGGCGCCTCCCGCGGGCTCCCTGCGCGCGACGGGGACGGAGGCAGCCCCGGGTGCAGCCCCGGGCACGGCCCCGGTGCAGACGTTGTTTACGCGAGCGAAGGCGGCTGTATCATCCCGACGCGCTCCCGTGCAGCTGCTGCTGTGGTGCCATATTAAACAACAGCAAATAGTAACGCAGCCAGTTTCCATTGCAAACCCTGAACCCCTCCTCACTTCCCAGCGCCGCAGAGGGGAGGCCGGGGGCCGCCCTCGCCCGCCGCAGCGGTGCCGCTTCTCCCGCGTCCCGCTCCGCGCTGGCTGCCTCCGTCGCCCCAGGTCGCTATCCGAGCCTGTCAACCCGCTGACCGACTATCCCAGCGCCTTCGTGCCTGGGTTATCTCCTCAAATGCACCGAACTGGCAGAGCCCAAGGAGAATAACCTGTTTCTCCAGATGCACAGACCTTCCTGACAAACCTCCTGTGCATCAGGAATTCGACCAGGCCACCGCCGGCCACAGGCGGGTTCGCTCCCTCGGCCCCTCACAAACAAGCAGGGCATCAGGCAGCTACGCAACGGGCACCTTCACCCCATGAGACGGGTTGGAAACCCTTTAATCTGGCCACCACTGCCACGCATGGTCCCTCCACAGGGCTGCCAGCTGACCATAGGCAGGAAGGGTTTTAGCAGGAGAGGAGCAGGAAGAACAAAACCTCACAGCAATAAAAGATCAATGATTAACAGCCTGACATTACTCTGAATTCTGGTGGACACGAGCAGAAGGGCTGGGTTAACCTGGAAGTGTCGCAGCCGAGGGCAGGGGCGGCCACCAGCGGGAGGTGAGTGCAGGAACTGCAACCTACCCAGCAGCAGGGATGAGGAGAGGGAAGATCCAGACCCGCCAGCACCGCGGGAGAGCGCGACTGGACGCAGGATTCTGCAGACCTGGGGTCCCCTGATCCCCGGGGAGTAGAATAGCCTGCAAATAAATAACCTGCTGCTCAAAACCTGCAGATTGTCTCCCAAGTCTTTAACGTTGTCTTGAGGTCATATAAGGGCAAGCAGCTCTCAGAAGGAAAAGCCTTTCCACAACCACTCCTATCCTCAGATTAAGAAAAACAAACAAGCAAGCAAAGAAGCCTATTCTTATAAACAGCAAAACAACTAAGCCATTTTTCAGGGACACTTCCCATTTATTAGATCAGAGATGCTCGTCCATAACCAAACGTGTTCGCGTGATACCTGTGGTGACGTTAGGGACACGAGGTGTGGCAGTAGGGATGGCAACATCCCTCCCCCGGGGAGGCAGGCGGGGAGGCTGCTGCCGGGGCCGGGGCCTGCTGCCACCCTGACAGCCAAGAACCGGCCGCGCTGCCAACCCTGACGGGGATCCGCAGGCACACGGGGATCCCTGTGTGTGGTTTTTGCTTTGTTTCTCTTTGTTATATTTTTAATATTGGTATAATCCTATTCTGATTCTTCTATAGCAAAGCACGAGTCTACAGACTTCTGGGAGAAGAGAGTGCAAATTCCCCCACTGGCTTTTCACAATTTGTACGCATGTGGCCAAAGTCCCCAGGAGTTGGAAGGGAGGAGGAGATATGCGGGGAATCAAAACCCAGGGCAATCTTGAGCCATGAAACGCCCTTTCTGCCCCTCTGCTGGCTCGGGAGCATGTGGGGAGGCGGGGGGTTCCCTGCCCTTCACAAGGCCCCTGCAAGGCCCTGCAGTTCGGTGCGGATCAAGAACTGTCTGCGTGAAAACCCAAATGTCTTTGGGCTTTGGCAGCGCAGAGCACCCCAAGGCTCCACCCGTGCAGGGTTTGGGCTGGTGCAGCTCCGCGCTTGTGCCGACCCTGGGCCTCGCCAAGCCGCTGGCGCGGCCTCCTGCTCGGCGCAGAGCACCCCTGAGGCGCTGCCCACGCAAACGGCGCCTTCTACTCACGCTAAGCACCAGGGAGGGCAGCTGAGCCCAAAGGGGCCCTGTGGCCGTCGGCACTCACTTGTTCAGGGCACCCAAGGCGCCCCTGGCGCTCGGCAGGCGCCCACTCCAGCCGCACTCGCCCTCTAGCTCCAGCAGGGCCGTCCCCGCGGAGCTCCGGGCTCGGCCATGCGGGTTACACACACCCTGTGCCCCCTGATCAGGACTTCAGGGATTCCATTTCAAATCCCTTCCCTCCCCGTTCTCTTTTTCCACCCCAACAATGCACAACCCTGGCATGAGAAAAGAAAAATCCCAAGCGGAATCCAAGGGGAAGCCTGCTTCCAGGAAAGCGCGTGCCCCGCGTTTCAGAAAGGCAGGCGTGGGCGGGCGCTCCGTCCCTCGCTGCTGCCGCCCCTCTCCTGCCCCGGCCAGGGCCCAGAGCGGCGACGCTCCGCGCGCCCGCAGCCCCCGGCCTGCGCCTCGCCCGCGGCGCCCTTTGCCTTTCCCCCCTCTCCGCAGGGATTCCTGGCTCCGCTCCTGCTTCCTCCCCGGCTTCCTCAGCCCTCCCCACGCACCCAGCGGCCAAGCCCCGGGTTGCCCTTCTCCTCCCCCCGTATCCTCCCGGGAATCGCTCGGCACATCCGCCGCCTACCTCATACACTCCAGGAGCAATCCCACGTGGCTCTTCCACCTTCACATGGTCTCCATCACCTTCCTCATCACCCCAAACTCCCGACGATTAATAAATACAACACACTAGACTGTCCTAGTGCAAGAGACATAAACCCAACCCTTCCAGCAGCACAAACACGCTGTTATAGACACAGCTGAATTCAAACCAAGTGTCATCCCTGTGTTGTAGGATACTGCAACAAGGCTTCCCTGCATATGAGGGTGAAACAGGGATTCAGGGGATTGTGTTGGCTCCAGAACAAAGCAGTCCACAAGCGATCCCAGCCAGGGCATGAGGAGGCAGGAGCGGCCACCCAGGGAAGGGGAGACGAGGGCACAGACAGGACAGAAGAAGAGAGGAGATGCTGTGTAGGCAGCTGGAAAGGGAGAGGGCTGTGGAAAGAGGCCGCGCTGTCTGTGGCTGAGCGGGACAAGCGCCGGGAGAAACCTGCCCTGCAGAGAAGGCAGAAGCACAGAAGGCAGCACTGGCAAGGAAGAAAATAGGGGGAAATGTTGAGGAAACCTCAGCGCTCTCTGAGGAGAATGCAAAGCCTGTGCTGTAAACCCTTCACATGGGATGGGAAGAAGTTCAGATGTCTCCTGGACAGCGTTAGGGAGAACTCAGGTCCCGCGGGAGAAACTCCTTGGGCCAAGGGCCCCAAATCTGCCAGGTGTGCCCAGGCCACAGGAGAGAGGATCCGAGGAAGCTCTCGGTGTCTCCTGGCTGCTTCAAGCGGCCTTTCGGGAGAGGCCTCTGCCCGCGGGAGCAGCCCCGCACGGGCGCTGCCCTCAGAGCCCTGGGCGCGCAGCAGGCGCTGCCGGCCTCGCTGCCGCATTCCCGCTGGCACCTACGCCCGGACACGCATCCCATCGGCATGGCCAGGGCTGTCTCCGGCCTCGCCAGGGCCCTTCCGCCATCCCCGGGCCGGAGGCCGAGTTCCCTGCCCGGTAACAGCCCGCTGCGGTAGCGCCGAGCGGCGGGAGAGACGACCACGTTCCCCCAGCTTCTCCCGCAACAAAATCACGTTTAACCACTCGGAGGGGCACCAGGCACTACCCCGGGATGGTGTTGAGAACAGGGACACGCTCACATCCCACAGCCGGGCACAGCAAGCAAGGCTTGTGAACACCGTGTGCGACTACCGTGTAGTCACCCTGCAACATGTCAATAGGGGACCCCCCCCATCACTTACTTATTAAGTGACTACTGTGAAAGTTTACTTTGAGTTCCTTCTTATCAACTGTTATATAAAGCTTACTGCTTCTCCTAGCCTCTGCATTTCACATGATTCATCGGCTGTAAAAATAGAATATTTGCCCTAAAAAGGCATTCAAATTAATGACTGCCTGGACTTCTTGCTGCTAGGTAATAATTAGCTGCTTAATTATATGGCTCCTTTCTCTATTGCAAAGAAAAGATTCTTTTCTAGATGAAACCATCCTCAAAAAGCCCGAAAATCATGACCGCCAATTCCCATTTCTACATATTCAGAACAAAAGATGCTGCTGTCTAAAAACAAGCGGTAAAAGTCCCGCTCCACTCCAAAGGAATTTCAGGACTTTAAACAGAGCCATATCTTCTTCTTTTACAGCTTTGTGTTCCTGGCTTTCTGCAGCAAACAAACCCCCTGGACCAGGTTTGTTGATAGGTTCCCTTGCACCGACGTCCGAGGGCAGCGGTTGTACCGGGGGCAGATGCAGCTTGGAGCTCTGCAATTCCACCTCAGGCACCAGCCGGCTCACAGCCAGTGCTGCTGCACAGGAATGATAGATCTGCTGCCTGTTACTGTTTTTTCATGATGAATTCCAGGGATAAATTAACTGGCTGTATGTTTGTAATTATATTAAATCTCCATAGCAAAGATATAGAGATTTTAAATGAGATTAAGGCTGCAAAACTCTTGAGTTCCTGTAGATGACTCTATTGTGGGTCATGTCATCTTTGAAAACGAGAGATTTGACATATTTGAAAATATTGCACTGACATACACTGATAAACAAACTGACTTGTGAATTCTTTTCTTACATTTGTTAAGGAAAAAGGTCACATTTAAAAGAACGTTTTTCAGACAATGGGGTAGGGTTGTATCTAGCTGTTCTCTGGCTAGGACATGAGTCCAGATACACAAAACCTTGCATGGATTGCAAGGCATCCATTTCCTGCATGGAAACCATGTGTATGACTGTCTGTCTGGAAGCACTTGCTGAAGTGTTTTCCAAAACACAAAAACTAAGGAAGATGAAATCACAAGCTGTAGTAAGTCACAAGGAACACACTTTCAGCTAAGCAAGCAGATGCTGTAATGCTACTGGCACAAAAGCAGCAGCGGACCCAATAAAATTAATTCTGAGAAAACGAGTCGCTGGCCATAAGGCGCCTGGCTGCGAACACTGGCAGCTGCTTCCCAGAGCACCAGCTTCAGCGCCGTGACCTTCCAGCTACCCAGCTTCGCACTGTGGCATTCATCTGGATTAGGTGGAGGGAAGTGCTTCCCTTCTCCATACAGCTCCACAAAGCTTTCATCTCCAATGTATGAGAAATGCTTCACCTGCCATGTTGTTCAATTCCGGAGCCCTGGTTCCCTTTGCGGGTACAATTAGTTGATAATAAAATGTTAACCTGTTTTTGCACATACCTTCACAGAAATAAGTGGTCTCTGAACAGTCTTCTATGATACAGGAAACAACTTCCTGAAGATTTTGATGTTTGGCCATTTATAAATACCTGGAAATGGCACCAGCACTGCAAGGACCTTCTCAAGAGACACCCAGGTCTGACGTGGCCTAACGTCTCCTCCTATTTATGGAGGTAACGTGGCCTCCTATTTATGGAGGTAACTGCTCCTGCCTCCTTTCACCTCTAATAAAAAAGATAAAATATTCTCTCTCAAAGCCTGTTTTTCTGGATTATTTATGCAGTGGCAAGATAGGAAAGCACAGCGCCAAGCCCCGCTGCTAGTTGTGATGTGCCAGGTGACCTGCCCACCTGCTCAGCTGCCACACGGCGGCTGGCGAATTCTGCAACCCAACAGCAGAACAAGCAAGTTAAAAGGGTTCAACAAAACTACTTTATGATTTTAAAATAACTGTTCAAAGGCACCAAAAGAAGGAGGGAGGAGGTGGTCCTGTTCATCCCCTCCTGCCTTGCAGCTTCTCTGAGGACTGCCAGAGTTCTAAGACAGAGATTTTTTTCCTTAAAACGATCTCAGGTAAATAGTAAAAAATATAAAAACCCTGCACAGGGGACAGGATCTTTCCATTCTCACTAGTGACAACTCCAGGAACTGCTCCAGTTCCGTTTTCCAGTCTCAATCTACCTAGCAGTCCCCTCATTTCTGTAATACACACAGTCACAACTGCTGACTCAGAGTAAAGCTAACATTTGAATAACAAAGACATAAACTCACTGAGCTCCCCTCCACAACAACCTGGCTCAAGGCAAGTTTATGAGAAGGTGCTGTCACCCTTCTGCCATGGAAGCAGGTGGTTTCACATGAAACTGGGAGAAGAGAGCGTAGGATTCCGGAAGCTGTTTCCACCCACCGGGGTGGGTATTCACCCTCCCCGCAGGTGGGAAGCCCGAGACACACGGAGCTGCCTTTGCTCCAAGGGAAAACTACTGGAGCAGCCAATGGGACGCGCTCTCCCTTCGCACTGGTATCACCTTTGCTCTCTGCCCAGGACAAAGGAGGGACGCTCTTGTTACTGACACACATCCAGAGAGAGAGAGAGAAACCTGAACGGCAAACAGAAGAACTCGTGGTCAGTCCATTCTGGCTGCGATCCTGCTGCCAACATCAATGCGTTACAAGCCGCATAGCTATGAATTTCAGCTGTGTTTAAACGCACAGCAACCTATGGAACGGCTCTTGTGTCCATCAAATGCAGTCAGCCCCTAGACAGACACAATCTGCCCTTCTACAGCTGAATGGCGCACACACAAAACATTTTTTCCATTGCTTTCCAAGCCTACCTGCAATCCCTTGTAGCAGCCCGCAGACGTTAAAGATACTTTTCTTCATGATGCTCTGCACGCACATGGTGAAGACGGACACGAAGGCCACGGCGCAGAGAATCATGATGCCCATGGCTAGGAAGATGGCAGTGGCCTGCCAGAAGCCGCTGGCAATCTCGCTGAAGTTTTCGGCGTAGGGACCGCAGAGGGTGTCCCGCCGAGAGATCTGCATGTGGGAGACGCGGGTGCAGCGGCCGTAGAGGCCGAGCGTGGGGCGGTAGGGCTCCCGCGCGCCGCCCGCCCCGCTGCCCGTCTCCTCGGAGCCCAGGGGTTTGGCTTTGCCAACGAGCCAGTCGGCGCTCATGAACGCGATGAGCTCCGCGAAGGCCACCACGATGCTCAGCAGCGTCCACAGCATCGAGCGACACGTCACAATGACATGACACATATTGAGGGTCCGGCGCTGGCGATCAGTGCAGTTGACAGCCTTAAATCCAGGCACGAGGGACAAACTTAAATTAAAGAGGTTAAAAAAAAAAAGTTTCTTTTTCTCCAAGAAAATCACTGTTCCTGTTCTGCTTTTTCAGTTCTCTCGCAACAGCCAAGATAATATTTCTCAGGAGGAAGAGTTAACTGCCCCAAGTTTTGCGTGCAGAACGGTCATTTGCTCTCTCTGCGTGGCTTCTGCTCTCTCCTGTCCCGATGCTGAGCTCCGAAGTGCACGTTTCTTCCCTAAGGTTCATAGTAGCGCGTGACACTCCCAGGCGGCAGGGACGGCCGCAGGACTGCCCATGAGGCTGACATTACACACCTGCAAGAGAGAACACAGCAGCATGAGGAGAAGGGCTGGGCGCAGCCTCCGCGTCCCGGGAAGGAGCCAAAGTCCTGCAGCCGCCTGCAGCGCTTCCGAAAGGGCCGTTCAAAGGGAGTCTGCTGGAAAGCTCCCAGCTCCATCCCAAGGGAGCGATCGCTCTCCTGCCGCCCGGCTGTTCTTACAGGATCTGCTCTGTCCCACCCGGCTTTGCGAGAAAGGTCTCGGCAGCACCACAGGCGCCCACCCACTGCCACCACCACTCCCACCTCTTCAGTGTCTTCTTCCCCTCGCTGAGATAACCAGGGCTCTGGCAGCCACCCAGCAAAGTGTCCGTACGTGTTGGGCAGGCAGTTTAAGGGGAGGCAACTCTGCCGAATCGCTGCCCTGCCTCTGGTCGCGGGACCCCACGGAGCAGCCCAGCCCTCAGCACCCACAGCAGGGCAGGGAGCCGGGCGCAATGAATGAAGCTCCCTTTCCAGCGCTGCTGGAACCAGATGGCTGCTCCTCGCTGCGAGGCAGCCTGTGTCTCAAGAGGAGACAAACAGGATTACAGCTGGGGACAGTCCGCCCACCGGGAAGCGGCGGCTGGACGGTGACGCAGCCCGTGGCTTGGGAGCTTGGCAGCCGTTCTGCACAACTCGGGTTGCACAACATCGCACAACATCCCCACTTCTGCTCAGCCTAGCGCAGGGTTTGAGCAGAGCGATCCTCCTGCAGGTATGCAACGTCTCAGCCCGCGTTAATGCTGATGCTGGCAGCCTTAGGGCGACCTACGCTGCTTAAATATGAATCTACAGAAAAATGTCCCGCTCACTGCCAAGCCACCAATGGCCCCAGCTAGAGAGGTTGCTATGGAGCTACAAGATTCTTCACTCCCCCAAGTCTGCTCCTTCCATAACCTTCTGCAGGCTGGGACCGCAGCAGAGAGATTCCCCAGGGCTTTCCCTAAGCATCCATGCTGCCTTTGAGCAGCAGCTCACGACATTCCCAGGGTTATACGTATCTCAGTGCAAGAGGCAATCCAAGATTGCAGCACATCTAAACTGTATCCAAATATTGTGCTAGAAACAACAAATGGATCATTGCATACGTGGCCGTGCTTGAACTTGAAACGTGTCACTTGAGACAGGGGGGAAAGCAGGGAACACAGCCGTGGTGCCCGCATAGCGCTCAAGGCTTCCTCACAAAACGAGCAGATGCTAATGGTCAACTGAGGCAAAAGCCTCAACTACCCAAACCCTATCTTGTCACTGCGGCTGCCAAGTAGGAAATGTTCAGTGGATGCCAAAAAAAATTAAAGATAAAATTAAAAAAATCTTATTCTTGTATCAAAGCTTTCAGCCTTGTCAAAGAGTAATGGAGTTATTTAATTTCACAGGGGTTCTGAGGTCAGCAGTCAAATCTCAATCCCACTAAATGCAAAAGCAAAAAATATCCCCTGGATTTGACAAGTTCAGAATTTCATCCAGGAATTCTGCCCTCCCCTACACTCGTATTGGTGAACGATGCCAGTGCTCTCCTCTCCTCTGCAGTCCTACCCACACTGTGGGTTTATGCTGCCACACCACCAACTTTGACTCCCTTATTTCTATGTTACTCATTGTCTCTTTGGTTTTGCTGATATATCCTCCTGCATATTTTCCTTTGATATTTTATGTGGCTTAGAGTAGACTTTACAATGTTCAACTTCTCTATTATCACTGGCAAAGCTGAGAAGTATACAAAAGTACTTGAAAGAGAAATTAGTTACATGTTAAAAAAGGCATAACATTTATTTGTGCTTTTAGCTACACTAAGGCAATAGTTCTGGGCACTTTCCTTTTTTTTCTGGAATAGCTGAGAGGAGCATGAGGTTTTCAATGAGCCTGACACACCGATGACTCGAATACACCCTTTGAAACAACAGAGCTGACGTGTTAGTCTGCCAAAAGCGGTTAATTCTCTCAGTATTTCCACTTTAAATGCAAAGTGGAATGTAGGGAAAGTCCACTACAATCCTACATTCCTCTGATGTCATCAGCACCATTGACAGAGAAATTAATAACTGCTTTGCTTTTTTTTCGTTTTATTTAAGAAAAGTTAGTTCCCAAATGGTCTAGAATCTACATTTTAGCAAAGAAAACCACGCAAAGCCCTTGTTTTTGCAACTATCCTTCTGCACTTCAGGAGCAAGGGAAGAAACAGTTAAAAGGCAGCCCTAGCTGAGCTTATACTGCTCCTGCTGAACATCATCATCATCATCATAATAGTAATAATAATAATAACAACATGTTTCTAGAATGAGATTGCGGATGAGAACAAAGTTCCTATTTACTTTAAGGGGTGGAAATTCCAGCTGAACAATTGAGTTTTGCCCATTTTAAAAACAAGCGAAAGCAATGGTAACACACTGAAACACAGTATCTCCAGGAAAGTCAACACATTAGTCTGGTCAAAACTTGATATGGAGGTAGTGTCAAATCTTAACACTTCACTAGGATATACAATTTGCAAAGCAACATACCAAACCCCTATATAGAACACAGGCAAGTAAATAAAGGTCACCGTTAACGAGAGTTTAAGAGAATGCACTTGGCGGTCAAAGTCAGCTTTTCCCAGCTGACTGGCACTTTATTCCACTATGAAACACATTTCCAGAGCAGAGTATGACCAACGTGTGAATTCCCAACTGTGTTCCCGCGCAAACCGATTCCCGTGCAGGTGACGCCCTTGTCACAACAGCCCTCCCCGGGGCAAGGGGACAGCAGTCTGCCCAGCACATCAGACCAGAGCAACAGCCAGTCAGGGCACTGCTCCTCGGGGAGACTTGTCAGGAGGCAAGTTGCAAGGGTTGCAGATAAAGCTCTGGAGATAACTGCAGGTCAGACTTGCTGGTGTAGTTAGTTAACCTTTTCCTTCCCAAGCCTTCAGTTCAAAGACGCAGCTACCCACTTCTCCCATCGCTCCTGGCAGGAACCTCACGTTCAGCCTCCGAGTGTTTTTGGCAATAGGTGACACTACACATTGCTGTACTTCACAAAGCCCCTGCCAGCGTCCTGCTCACCCCTCTGCTCCCACTCTTTGCTCGATAAACTCAAGCTACGCTCTCGGAGGCTGAACATTAACTGTTTCTCCCTCCTCCCAGTTCTCCGTCCCTTGGCAAGTCTTCTCCCTACTAGAACTGCATGTTCTTCACAGCACGCCACTCAATATCCACTTCTGAACGACTGTCAAGATATTTGTGTGAATTTGTGTGAATTTTCTGTCCAAATTCAACACGTACACCAGGGCTTTAACCCCTTCTGTATTAACCCATTCAGTAAGATTCTCACCGAGGCAGCAGCTGCCTTCTCTCAGGCTCAGCCCCGAGACACGTCGGCCTCTCCCGGGTTGCTCCTGTGGCTCCTGCTGCCTGCGAGCGGCCGAAGGCCCCTCAGCCTGTTCCACCAGAGCCAAACGCTGCTGCCCGACACCGTCAGCAACCGCCACTGCAGCTGAAAGGCACCAGCCCCCTCGCCACGTGCACAGAGGATAAAACTCGCCTTGAAGGCAAGGACTCACACCCTGCTGGTTATTTTAATCACCCAGGACAAACTATCATAAAATATCTTCCTCTTTAGACACAATTTTGACAGATATACATATCTGTCAAACTGCCTCAGTTGTATTACACATTTCTAGCTAAGAATATCCAACTGTTGCCTTTTAGTGAGAAAACTCTGCTCATCTCTTACTACATAACATTACCATATGTTAAGTAAAGAGGTAAAATCTTTCTTTTTTTCTGAGCGAGATGAAGAAACACACTTGCCTCCATTTTGCTTGAGCTGCCAAAACTAAAAACTTAGAAGCTGACCCAAATTAAAATATCTGAATTAAGGACTTGGTTTTAAAGTTTAGAGCAGTTGAGCTCCAGAGTTTTGCTTTGGCATCTCGCACGAATAGGAAGGAACAGCTGCAAAGTTCAAGTCTGAGTCAATCACATGCCACTGGTGTTTGTTTTAAAAAGGTGTCCTACAAGCAAAGCACAAGAGACCCCCAAGTACCTTGTGGCCAGTTCTCAATATCCCCCCCCCTGGTTTTGCCTGGAGACAGAGGGCTCATCCTCAGCCTTGGAAACCAGCTTCCCAGCCTGACTCTGTCAGCTCAAGAGCAAGGATAAATCATCTTTAGATAAGTGGCTTTTGGCTTGGCTTAAACAAACAGCTGAATGGAAGGCCACACAGACTGCTGAAACAGCCCCAATTTATAAAATAAATGCAGGCACAATTAGACCTTTTCTTCTAAAGCTTGGTATAGTCCAAAACACAACTACGCAGAGGAATTTCTAAACTTGGTTTGCAAAACACAAGCTCTAGCATCCTATAACTTAAGAGGCACAGAACGTACGGGCCCGGCTCCCGCTTTCCCGGGCACTGCTCCCGAGCGAGCGGGAGAGCCGCCGCATTGCGCGGGGACCCGCTCACGAGGGAGCGGGTGGCAAGGGCGCTAGCGCGGATTCATTTGCTGGGGGAGTGATAAGCGGAAAACAGCTTTGTTATCCCAGGGACAGGGAAGGAAGAGAGCTTACTGAGGAACAGCAGCTGCAGACTGAGAGGGCGCTGCCCTGGAAGCGCCGCTTCTCAGAGGGGACCGCCACGAGCCAGCTCCTCTCACCGGAGCGGCACCTCTGCATTGCTACCCGCACACTTCCTTACTACCCGCACACTTAGGTGTGGGAGCAGAGGCACCACCACTGCCTCTCCCTGCCACGGGAGGCCCGGGATGGAAGTTAAGGAAGGAGCAGCGGGCACAATGGCTCAGCACAAGCCGCCTCTGCCGGTCGCCCAGGGCTCTGCTGGCGCCAGCTGCTCTGAGGGAAAAGCACCTGGCCGAGGAGGGAGCAGGGCCCTTGGACGCCTCCCAGGGTCCAGGCTGCGAGGTCTCCTTGTTATGTGGGGGATGGAAAGCAAACTGCTGACTAGACTTCACCTGCAAATTAAAAAAAAACAAAAACAAAAACAGAAAAAGAGCAGACA